ACCCATGAAACCCACAAAAAGCTCGGGTGTTGGCCTTACGCGTTATGAAGCATGAATCTATGAAAAAAACCACACTAATCAATGTTTCCTTTTATATTACGATTCCCTATACTTCAGTGCCACTAATCTTTCAAAAAGATTGTAAGCACTTCTACTTGATTTCCGAATCTGAAAGTTCAATAAGTCTAGATCTTTACAATACCATGCAGTTTCATCCAGAAGACTCCATTGCTGAGCTGTTTCCCAGCAGCTTTATCCTTGATATCTTTACAAGATGAACCAGGGTTTGTCTTGGTTCCGTATTCACTGTCCTCTTCAAACTGAAAGGTCTTCCACTCGTCTCCTAAGCAAACTTGCACCTTGCCGTTGAAGAATTTCAGAGCTCCAGCTTGACCTGCATTGTTGCAGGCGCACGATTGGTCCCCCAGCTTGTAAATGGTTGGAACAGGAAAGAAAGGAAGCATATTCTTCTCAATTAATTTTAAGACCCTGAGTGTTGGTCCGGCCGGTATTGAACTCTTGACCTCACGCACGGCAGTCCGGCGCTCTCCCAATTGAGCTAACCAGGCGGCGGTATGCTGTATGCTTGTATGCTTGTATGCTTGTATGTGTTTATGCTGATGTTAATCTCTTCTTGCATGGGTATATAGAACCTTTTTTCCAACAATAAAAATGCCCCAGTTTATTATTAATATCTATTGCTTATTTCTCTTATTGAAGGAACACCCTGCATAAAATTTTGACAAATTTACCTCTGTCAGTCTTTCATTATCCTGGTCTTTCTGATCACACAGCTAAATACAAATAAAGCAGATTACTCATATGTTAAGCTTCAAAGTTTCCCTTAAGTATGTGTGTTGTCATTGACAAACTTTAATAACATATAAATTATCATGATCAAAATCTAAAAAAAATTGCACACACCTGTGCAAGTCGCCCAATCTCTTGATCTTTCATATCACATAACTGAAAAATGCGAGATTCAGTTTGATATTAGCCACCCAATTGATAGTGCATAACTGTTTCTACTTCTGATGAAGTAGTTAAATGTTTAGATAAAAGGTTCAGCTAAATTGAGGCCAAACAACGGCTAGAAAATTTAACTGATGTAAAAACGAACAAAACAAAATAAAAAACACCACTACTGTACTGCATGGGCTTAATCCTCAAGCCACATAATTTGGGATGTGAAATGTAGCTCTATTGAAAAAGAAATGAGGCTCGCTTACAGTATAGGAATAAAATGATATTATTCCAATTATTAACCTGGGATCATTGCCATTGCTTTCCATATTGGAATGCATTTCCTGGGTGGCATAGATAAAAAGATTTATTCTGCCACCTTATAAAGCTACAATCAGTCATAAATAAATAACCCAAAAACTT